CACACACACACACACACACACACACACACAAATTGGCTGCTTACTACAACCCACCTTAATCAAACCGGGTCTAGTAACTTGGCTGTTATCTGAGAAGCAAGGCACTAGAGAAATTAAATAGAATGTGTTATAGCCTCTGAATCTGCAGAAGAGAATGTTTTAAGCATTTTTTGCATCATTGGTTTCCTGGTGTCACTATTTTGGGATGGACAATATGATTTGGATGTGTAGGCTTACTTTTTTAAAAATTAAACTTCTTTGAAACCCCTATTTTTTGCCCTCTAGAACTTTTTTCTAGTTTGTAATCCTCTTTCCTGAAAACTTTTGAATGCTATCTGTGACTACTGTATGATAGTCTTGAGTTTGAGAATTCCAAAAAGTTGACTCAATATTTTAAATACTTTTAAGGAAACAAAGCTTTTACCTACATCTTTTTTGTTTTTTGTTTGTTTGTTTGTTTGTCTTGGTACTGGGAATTGAACTGAGGTTCTTGTGTTTTCAAGGCAGGAGGTGGAACACTGAGCTAAATCCTTGGCCCACCTCCATCATTTTTTAAAGCATGCCTTTTCTCAGATGAACAATTTGACTTTAAAGACTGGGGATTGTTGCACAAGCAAATTGGAATAAGTTGTATGTACTAATTATGCTCAGTTTTAAGCCTACATATCAGAAAATACTGAGAATTTTATAATGATTTCATATATCACTTATAACCTTAAAATCTGATTACTGTTCAGAAAGATGTGAGCCAAAATTTATTTCTGATTTGGAAATGTGAATGCATATCTTGCAAACTTCTCTTGTGAAACTTACCTGGGATTTTTTTAAAAATACCAATTCTTATGTACAGATCTATACTTTGAGGATCTCCTAAAATAATTTAAATATCAAGGTTTGTCCTGATGTAAAGTTTTACAATCAGAATCACTTTGGTTCAGCTATCGTCTTAATTGTGTATGAGATGAGAGAGTTACAGCTATCTCAAGATTTAATGGAATAGTTTAATTATCGTGTAACAAAATTCTAACTGCAGATGATTTGAATTTTTCAGGCTTTCATAATTATGAGAATTCATTCTGAAAGTGTAAAATGCCCTCCAAGCCTGCCACTTTAAGTTGAATTTATTGACATTCTCACAAAAGATAAAATATCAATTAGAATATTGGATACTATGTTTTATAACTGTAAAGTAAGTTTCTTTTTTTGCATACGTTTCTATTCTGGATGATAGTAAAATCGTTGTCATTTTCCAGCTGTGTTTTGTTCTCCTTCATCTCCCTTTTGAGGCACTAGTGCACATACACACACATGAAAAGAAATCATTTAGGTTGATTTTGCAGGTTTCCGTTGTTAATGATTTATTGTCACATCGATTTGTTATGGTTGATAACTTTCTTTAAATTTGTTATTGAAAGTTAGATTATTAGTGATATAATGAACCTTAATTTTTCTTTCATCAAAATACCCAAAATACCCTGAAATCTTCGTTTCTTTTCCATTCCCACCCTGTTCTAGAAGAGGCTGCCCAACACCTGTCCTGAATGAAGTCCTGAGTAGATGCGTCTTTGTGTGCAGAAGGGACCAGAGTGGACAAGGTTTCCTCTCTAGGTTCCCTCTCTCTGTTCTCTATGGAGACTACAGCCTGGAAAGACTACATGAACCCTCCAGCTTCTGGCAGTGCCAACCACCGAGAGCAGTTTGGTTCTCTTCCACCAGCCCTTTCTAAAGCAGGTGTGAACCTCTCCCACTTCCTCTCAGATCTGCCGTCCCCAGTCACTGCCACTGGTACACCACTTCCCTCTAAGGCACAGCCACATCTCCCCTCCAGCTCCCTCCTCTTTCTTCCGTGATGACAGCGTCCTGAGGAAGAGAACTTGTAAGGAAATCTTCACTTTCAGCTAGCTTAAGTTTCCCTGTTAGTGCCATGACCTCATCGCTACCCTGGAAATTCCACTCATCTTCCTGTGCCCCCACATCTGGCCCAGGCTTCAGAGTCCCTATAAAGAGGGGCTCCCAACTCAGATCAGCACAGGACACAGGTTCTGAAGCTTCTGAACTCTGCAGGCTCAGCTCCACCGCGACCATGAAACTCTGCGTGACTGTCCTCTCTCTCCTTGTGATCGGGGCTGCCTTCTGCTCTCCAGTGCTCTCTGCACCAAGTAAGTCTACCCTTTCCCTGTCATTTCTAGAGTTAAGAGGTAGGCAGAGTCTCCTTGCCCAGTTGGGGCTGATCCAACAGCAGGATCTGGGGAGGAGCTGGGAAGATTTCTAAGAAGTTTACTGTTAAATGCAGAGTCTAGTAGCCATTCAATAATGTTCAAACTTCCATTTTCTTAGGATGAACATGAGATAGAGGGAAAGGATGAGTTAGAAGTCAGACTGTTGCACTGGCTCTGTCTCTGATTATTGGTGTAAGCGTGTCCCCCTCTATGCTTTAGTTTCCCATCTGTAACGTGAATACTGTGAGGCACGTTCTGAGACTCAGTGCAGTTCCAGTCCCAGAGAATTCTTTCTTGTCTTCCCTGGGGGTCCTCTACTTGATAGGTGGGCATGGATGACAAGGGACCATATTTGGGTTATTATAGTGTCACAGAGATGTTCGATGAAGATCCATATGCAGCAGACAAATGAAGAGCTCCCATGCGGAGTTTTGATCTCACCCTGCCTTTTCCTTCCAGTGGGCTCAGACCCTCCCATAGCCTGCTGCTTCTCTTACACCCAGAGGAAGCTTCTTCGTAATATTGTGACTGATTACTATGAGACCAGCAGCCTCTGCTCCCAGCCAGCTGTGGTGTGAGTATCAAGCCCTGGGCTGACTCTAGTAAGCAAGCGTGAAGGCAGCATTGAAAAGAGGCCAGGGGGTGATCCTGAGAGAAGTTGTTTTCAGGGCTGAATTCCTACCAAGAGCAGAAATGAAACAAGTCCTGAGGTCAGTATTTGAGTCCTGAAAGTAGCTGAGTTGGTGGCAAAGTAGAAGGGGATTCCTAGAGAGGATACTAGCCAGAGGCCAGAAGAGAAGGAAGAGTGAAAAAGTGTATATGAAGTATGAGCAGATTTGCCAAACCATTCTACAAAACATGAAGTAGCCACTGTTAGCAATGTTAGAAAATGGCGAGATAAATCCACATTGATTGCAAAACCCATTTGTTCCTAATCTGGCAAAACTCTGAGGCCATAGCTAAATTCAGGGGTGGAAGGTAAGGTCGTCTGGCTTCAGTTCTACCCAGGAAGGATCCCATTCACTAGAGTTGTTCAATATGACCTATGGTCAAGCAACAAGAGATTTCTGATAGGCAAAGAATAGTAGCAGATGATTTCAAAGGCTCCATGAGATTGTAATTTGTTTATTTCTTGTTCTACAGATTCCTAACCAAAAAGGGCAAGCAAGTCTGTGCGAACCCCAGTGAACCCTGGGTTCAGGAGTACATGGAATACTTAGAACTGAACTGAAATCTTGAAGCTTAGAAGCATGATGTCTACAGGGAAGGTCACCTGAACCCCAGTACTTCGTGATGAGATGCACCTTATTCTCCAAGCTCACAATACCTCTTAGTAGTTTCTGTCCCTTGTGATAATGTAATCTTTGGTGTGTGCTTTGTTATTAGATTCAGTATTATTTTTATTATTTATGTTTGACCCAAGGACACATGTCTCCCATGGAGATGGTCCATCATCACTGTTTCTCTGCTACTGTGGATACAGGAAAGATGCAGTTGATTCTACACATTTTCATAATAAAACTTTTTAAAAATGTAAACAGATTCTCTGTGATGTTGACTTGATTTGAAGTGAAGGCAGTTCTATTAGGAGGGACAAATTTCAGTTTTTAAAAACAGTATCAGTGAATAATTACTGAGTCCTTAACTTGTGCTCTGAGGAAAATAATCTTAATATATAATTCACTTAATACTTTCAACAAAGATTTCACCACCCTTATGAAGTACAGGCTGTTGTTCTAATTTTGAGGCAAAGAAATAGAGGTAGAGAGGCAAAATGACTTCCTGAGATCTGCTTGGAGAGCACCATGAAAGGATGACTTAAAGGATAGCTGGAATCCTAAGGTTTATCAGTCTACCATCTCATGGGAAAATTGTCAGTGGTGGCGACAGCACATTATAAGGGGAAGAGGAAGTAGCTCAGTGTCAGAAAAGCAATTTTATCATATTAGCATCAGAGTAACTTTAGAAAAATCATCTTGCCTTACTTACATGACTCTGGGTTTCCTACCTGAGAAATGGATATAAAATTATCCACTTGTAAGGGCTGCTATGACTTGATGTGTCCAGAACTCAGGAATAGAGTCCCTGAAAATTCTTTCTGGCCCTCACTAAGCCTCAGCATCTACCCTTTCAGGGTCACTGTGAAGATCAGATGAGTTTATGGCTCAGCACTCTGAAGCCCGAAGCAGATGTGAGGTATCATCGTATGAACAGAAACACAGGCATTTGTTTTGATCCTGAAGTGTTGCAGGACTAACCCAATGCCATGGCTACTTGGTAATTCTCAATCAGAATGGAATATGATATGCGTCAGAAAGAATGAAGTTCTGAGTAAGTGCATGTACAATACAGCTTCCTCTCTGAAAAACAGAATCATAGTCTGTTACAGATGGGAGAAACCCTTAGATTATCCAATCCAAACTCATCTTATGGAAACTGAGGTCCAAATGCTTGGAAGGAACTTGCCAAATGTCATCCATCAATTAAGTGGCAGATTAGAGCTCAAGCTGGAACCAACCCCCAGTTTAATACTCTTTCGTGTGCACCTTCCCTAGTGACACATTTCTGTGGTCCTGGCCCTGACCACATTTTTGTAGTCCCCAGAAGGTTCATTGGTAAGATGGGTAAGGAGGAAACTACCATGAAAATTAATAGTGTTCTTGGTTCTATGCAAAATCAGAACTGGGGTCTGCTACTTCTTCAGGACAATAGATACCATTCCCTTCTTTTTCCTTCCCTCAGCCACTTCATCCCTCCAGAGCCCCCTGGATCCTTCAGCCATGGAGAGCAGGAGGTTATGGAAACGGCTGATTCAAGACAGGTGTGAGGAGATCCTAGCAGCAAAGAACCTGCTTGGTCTTTGTTTTCTTTGTCTAAATCTGAGCTGCTAATATGCTAGCTACTGGAGGGAGTGTGTGTTTAGATTTAATTAAAATGTGAAATTTCCCTTCTCAGTCATTCTAGTGACATACAAATACTTGATAGTTACAGGTGGTGGTGGTTATCATGTTGGGCAGTGCAAATGTAGAACTATCCATCATCAGAAAAAAATGTCATTGGATGGACACATTTCAAAATATTATCAAGTCCTAAAAAAAGCAAAGAGAGTGGGTGCTGTAGTCACAGAGAAGTTTCAATCACAGCTTTAAGAAAGATAGACAACCATATTCGAAAGGATAGGCTGCGGGAGAGAATGGATGAACCTATGTACCATTATAGTAGGCTGGAGAGTGTCCCCAGAGTGTTTACATCCTACTCCTCAGAACACGTAAACATTACCTTCTGTGACAAAATGAGCTTTGCAAATAAAACTGAATTAAGTCAGTCAGAGATTACCTGATCATGCCTTAAATGTGTCTTTACAAGGGAAGCAGAGGGAAATTTGGTGATAGATCAGAAGGTGACAACATGACAACCGAGGCAAAATGTTATACAGCTGGCTTTGAAGACAAAGGAAGGGGCCTTGTGGTACAAGAATGCAGCTCTCGCTGCTAGAAAAGGCAAGAAAATGGTTTCTTCCTAGAGCCTCCAGAGGGAGCGTAGCCCACTGAAACTGATTTCAGACTTCTGACCATCAGAAGTTGAAGAGATCAAATGTGTGTTGTTCTAAGACATCAAATGTCTTAGTCACTTTCCCATTGTTTAGACAAAACACCTAATACCCACAACTTAAAGGAAGAGGGGCTTATTTTGGTTTTAGCTCATGGTCAGCTGGCTCTACGGCAGAAGTGGCATGATGGAAAGATCTAGGGGAGAAGCACTGTTCAAGCCATGGCAGCCAGGAAGCAGAGAGAGAAAAAAGCTAGGGACAAGAATACACCCTCCCGGGTCACCTCCCCACTGAGCCA